GCGCCCGCAGCCCGCGCGCGCCCCGCCCCCTGCCCGCGCGCCTGGCGGCGCCGCAACAGGATCCAGCCGGATTCCGGGGGGGGAGGGACACCGCTGCCCAGTCAAGGGCGGGCGTGACCATTAGGGCGAATTTCTCTACACAAGGGAATGGCCAACTCCACCCCCCCGTAGCAATGGATCTTTCCACTTGGCGCCCCTCCCAAGGGGCGGGGCTAGCACGTCCAGTCCACTGCTAGGAAAGCGGGCGGCCCCTCCTGATTGGTTGGGGCTACTCACCTGGCCTCTGAGGAGAATGGTGGCGAGCATGGAGGGGGAAGGGACCGAGTAGCGGTGAGCTGGGAGCGCATGCGTAGTGCGGGGGACGCGTGCGACGTTCGGTGGCTGAGCAGCGGACCCGCCTGGCGGAGGCCAGAGGAAGGGCGAGCCCCTGGAGGTATGGCCGAGAGCGGCGCGTGGTTGCTCGTGCTGAGCTCGGTTTTCTTGTGTAACCTCCTCAAAATCCTCCTGCCCTCCTGCTCGTCCATTGTAAGTGACGTCAGTCGTCGGGGGGGAGGGCAGGGCAGGGGGGCAGTTCCAAAGCTCGTTGTGAGGGGGTTGTTCCACACGGGCGGTTGGGCCGGAGCGTTCCACGCCGCGGGCGGGGGCGTCAGGGGACCCAGCTCCGCGCGCGGTGAGTGACTTGGAATGTCCCACCCCGCGCTGCGGCGCTCCCCTGGCGGGGCACCCTGGGGGTTTAAAAACCGAAAAGCTTGTCAATAATTTTTTTCCAGCTATTTGGGTTGGTCTAATAAAAGGTATCGGATTTATCCAAAGACCCTTGTCTTCCTATGTCCTTAGACCAGTGGCTCCCAACCTCAGGTCATGACCCAAATCAGGGTCGCAGCAGCTCTTTCCCTCGCTCAGCCCCTCCCACCTGCAGGGCTCTCCCAGGGCATGGTCCACAGGACTCCCCGCTGTGCTTCATGATTCCAGCCCAGCCCGGGCTCTGCTGCTGCCACCGGGCATGAGTGAGTCAGCAGGGGTGGGAGTCGTGACCCAGATTTAGGGTTGCAGCAAAAAAAGGTTGTGCGCCATTGCCTTAGACCAACACAGCTACAACCTGGATGGAGATGTGCTTTTCTTTCTGGCTGTCAGGGACAGGACTAGAACACCAAGGGCCTCAAGCTTCAGCAGGGGAAATTTAAGCTGGAGATGGGAGGAGCTGTCTGACTCTGAGGGCAATCAGGCATTGAAATAAGCTGCTTGGAGAAGTACAATCTCCATCTTTGGCAGTTTTCAGCCTGTTAGACAGATGGCCGGGATGGTTTAGTGGAGGACAGTCCTGCCTTGAACAAGGCAGTGCACTAAATGACCTTGTGAGGTTCCTTCCAAGCCCGCTGCAAAGCAAGGCATTGAAACCTGTTGGCCTCAGGGACTACCAGGGTCCTGGTGGGGAACTTTACAGCCTGCTCTTTTGGCAGACTGTTTTGAGCATTGGGCCTATGCCAGCCTTCTTCCCCATGCTGACAGTCAGCTGATTGTAAGCATTGGCATGGGGTGCTACATGTTCATTTTAGGGCATCATACAAATGAGTTGCGAAGATATATTTATGGGTGATCTTTGTGGCTGGTTTGCCACTTCATGACATGGTAAATTGGCTGTATAGCACTGTTACTATGATGTGATTAATGGGTTAATTGCATAATAATTGAAATGTGATGGGGGCCTCCAATACATTTAAAGGGAGACTTAGATTGTGGATTCTTTTTTAACTTAGGCAGAGGTGGTTGATCACTGCAGAGATGATGCCCTTGTTTTTGCTCTGTTTTTACAGAGCCAGTTGTTCAAATGGTGAAGCACTTGATGAGGCTTTCTAAAATTCTTAGTAAATTGATGCATTGTAAGTAAAAACACAGATGACCAATGGTTGTTGGCTTTACCTCTGTCCCCTCCTACTCTAAGTCAGTGATTCTCAACCAGGGTGCCTTGAGTTTCTTTCAAGGGTGCTGCACAATGTTAACAGTGTTAGGTCTGCAAACATGATTAACGAGGTAGAATGAAGGGTTTCAAATAGGAATTCATAGTGGTAAGACCATTCTGCCCTGTTGTGCTTTCTCTGAGTTGTTTGCAATGGAGCAGTTGCTCTGTTTTTCTGTAGTCAAAAAATATGTGAAAATTAAGAGCTGAAATTTTCCAAGAGGTGCTTTGACTCTACAAAAGTTGAGAACCACTGTTCTAAGTCAGTGGCTCCAAACCTGTTTTTGCTGCGACCCTAAATCCGAGTTGTGACCCTGCTGCCAACTTACCCATGCCTGGCAGTGCCAGCAGAGCTCGGGCTGGGTTGGGATCAGGAGGGGCAGCGGCAACAAGAGCACCTTTCTTCAGGCATAGGGAGTCTCTCCTATGAAAAAAGCTAGACGTGTGACAGGATGTCAGTGAAAATGTAAATATCCTGTCACACGTCTAGCTTCTTTCATTCCTTGGAGTCTCAGAACAGCAGAGACTCCCTATGCCTGAAGAAAGGTACTTGTGCCCAAAAGCTTGCAAAGAACTTTTTTCCAACTACACAGTTGGTCTAATAAAAGATATTGCATCTACCTGAAGAAGCTTGCCTGTCTCTGTCCTTAGACCAACATGGTTACAACCCCAAACCCTGCAAAAATGTGTATATATGTTACTATGGCTATACATTTGATCTCTTTCAAGAACAGAAAAGTGAGCATAAAATGTTGCGAGAAATTGGAAGCAGTGAAATCTAAAATGATAGTGGAAGGTTTTCAGCTACCCATGTACCAACTGGTCACCAAAATTTGAGCACTTTAACAGGCTGCTAAAGGAGCTAAGTATTTGAGAGGTATTGTGATTCAAACGCTGGTTAGGAAACAGAAAGCCGAGGAGGAGTAAAGGGTCATTCATTATGGCAGAATATTAATTGTAGGTACTTCTAGCTTCCATATTTAAATGTATTCATCAATGATTGGAAGGGTGGCAGTGAAGTGGTGGTGGGGGAATGGGAGGATGGGAATTAGTAGCAAGGTAGCAAATTTGCAGATGACCAAGTTTATTTAGATTGGTCTACACCAGAGAGGACTATGAAGCCTCAGATACTTGTATGGGCAACGTGGTAGTAAATTAATTTCAGTGTTAGTCGATACACAGTAACTTGCACTGAAGAAGAAAATGTAGCTTGTCTACATTTGAAATGATCATAAGGCATAAATTATTTGTAACAACTCAGAAAAATGATCCATGTAGCTCAATAAAAACTGCTCATTTTGCTCCTGTGGCATATCCCTTACATATTAGGATATCTAAGAAATAGAATAATAAACAGAACATGAAATTTTGTAATATCATAATATAAAAGCAATAATGCTTCCAGAATACCATGATAGGAACCTGGAAAATAGTTTAGATGAAGCAGTTGAGAAGACTGGGATTGTTTATTTTAGGATAGAGCCAAATAAGAGGTGACTTGAGAAAATGTATAAAATAACTATTGTTATTAGGAAGGTGGCAATCTCTTGGAAAACAGGACAAATTCCAGTGTAAGGGATGGGTAGACTATCCAAGATCTGGTCTGCGGCCTCTGAAATAGCTGCTACCGGCTACTGCTGAAGATGGAATACTAGAGGTAGAATGGACTTCAGGTCTAATTCTGTACAGCAATTCCTGCCTTGATAGGAACTCATGCTAACAAGTCTTCTGTAGGAAAAGAATGTCTCAGCAATAGGCTCTGCTCTAGAATTCCTGTATCTCAGTTGAACCAAGAAAGAAAAAACATGACAATGTTGATGACATGCTATCAAAGTGCCTGTTCACTTAATCGCCTTTTCTCCAACCCCTCAGAAAAAGCTTAGTTTTCTAGGAGGTTGAATTGTTAGCTGATGATGTACATTTTAGAGAAAGCAAGATGCATGCTTTTTTAGACACTTAAAAAAGCTCAACATTCTGACAAAATATCTAGTTGAACTTCTTTTATTTTTAGATATCCAGGTTGCTACAGCAGGATGCAGAGCAGGAATCCCAGATGAGAGCTGAAATTCAGAACATGAAGCAAGAACTCTCAACTATTAGCATGATGGATGAGTTTGCTAGATATGCCCGACTGGAAAGAAAGATTAACAAAATGACAGACAAGCTTAAAACTCATGGTAGAGTGCAACATTTATACTTGTCCAATTTATTTGAAAAACATTTCATTTTTCAAAAATATTTATATTTTGCCCATATTAGCTCTTACATTTTTATTCATCCCTTTCAGTGCTCTACCTTTTCCTTTTAAGTTGTAGAGGGTTTTATTTAATTACTTTGTATTTTTCAGTTGTACATAACATCCAGGGCATTGGTAGGGGCTGGGACTTAGAAGTAAAATTATTATATAAAGACTCTCCCTGAGCTGCAGTATGGAATATAACAAGCTTTCAGAGGAATTCCCAAACAACTCAGGCAGCAGGCAAGTTTTCATTTTCTTTCTCTGCACAGACATTCCAGATACCTACAACTTTTTTAATTGAAATCAAATAAGCATCTTGCCCATAAGACAAGAAACAAACCACTGAGCCTGTGTCTTCACTCTAAAAATGTGTTTGGTGTATTAAGGTTCTTTTTGTTTCATTTATTGTGTTTACTGCAGGATAGTTAGTACCGGTTGGCTGTCCTGTTGTAAAAGCCAAACAGACAAGACACCATAATATTTACTGAATGGTAGCTGGTCAAAGCCAGTGCTCTTATCCCCTGCTCTCTTCTAACTTACCTTGTGGTAAAATGACAGTCTGCATTAGGATTTTACAGTGGTATAGATAACGTGCATTCTAACTCTCATATAGTAGAAACACATCTTATTTTGGCAGCGAAGATGGCCTTAGTGCACACCTCTATCCTTAGCCTGCTTGACTCTCAGCATCAGACCTCTGCATTTCAGCTTCCATTTTCCCCCCATATCCTTTATCACATGCTTTGTATTTTCCTAGTCAGAAACAACACACAAGAGGAAATATGAATGTTCTTGTTTTGTCTCTTGGTGACCTGTGCCTATGATGTGTGTGTTTATTTCTTGTATTTTCTACAGGTTGTAGCCGTATTGGCTTACAGGCAAAAGGAATCGGAACTCATAGCAGAGGTGATATCTAGTTGGTCTAATAAAATATATCACTTCTGCCATGACTTCTGATTGTTTATTTCTTTGTTGTCTATGCAGTAGAAGTGTTTAAAAATTGACAGCCTTGGATCACTTCTCACAAGTGTTACTCTCAGTAAAATAACTCTTTTAACTATTAGAGTAGTTTACATGATAGTCAACAAAGCTGTTTAATGAGCTTTTAGCCACTACATGTATTCATTGGTTTCTATCAAAATTCTTTACTTTGCAATAAAACACTACCTTGGTGGGAAAATATGGGCAAACTTTTTATTTTCTTGTTGGACAGTTGAATATTATATCGAAACTTTACCTTTGGATAGCTTGGTTTAAGATGACTTTTCTGCCCTGATGCTGACAGATTTCTTCCCTCTGGGGAAGAATTTATTTTGCTAATCCTCCCATGAGACTTTTTAAAATGAGGCAGACATAAGATGTGCCCTGTTGATAAGCACCCCTTGTTTCAGGGGCACCTGGCTAAACCCCTAGGGACAGAAGTAGGGCTGGAAGCCATGTCCAGCAGAGATCCCTTGAACTTTTACTATGCATTTTCTACTTCAGGAACAGCTTTGTGTTCTGAAAAAGTATTTTATCTAACCAAGGACACAGAGTAGGTTGTTTAGGCTGGGGGAGATTGCTTGTTGCTTAGTTGTTTAATTGCTGGCCTCGCTAGAGGAAAAGCTGTATCAACAAAGTTCCGGAGCTGGAAGGGGGGTTACTTGGGGGGGGGATGGAAGGGGGGCTACTTGCTGGGCTTGCTACACATTTCATCACATCAGCAAGTTTAACCTGTTACGTAGCTATATAAGGCAGACACCCACTGGGGTGTGGGTGCTTGCTTTGCGAATGATTGCCAAGCGCCACTTTCTGCGCAGAAATAAAGATTAAGTTGGATCCTTCACCCCTGTGTGTTTATTGGCACAAGCGCACCGGGCACGAACTCGCTGTCCTTTGGGGACAACACTGTCATAGCCTGACTGCTAAAGAGATTGTACTTTACCTTTTGGAATAGTGTTATTAATCTCTTTTGCACATAGTCCAAAAGAAGCTTTAACAGGTTTTCCATCTTGGGTGCTTCTTTAGGTTTGAGATATGGACTGCGGTTGCAGGTGACATGTTCATCAAGTATGTCCTTATTTCATAAAATTATTTGTTTTAAGAATCCATATAACAATTCAGATACGTCATGGATATTCTGTAGCATATGCGTTCAAATTTTGGGTTGTGAAAACTTACTTCTGGTTTTCCAATAATAAATTGCTATTGACAGTACTTAAACAGGTATATAATATTTAAGCAGAATGTTTTCATTTAGACAATGAAATAATTCACCAGTTTCATGTAAATATATTTACTGTTTTATAAATAAGATGCTAATATATATATTTTCTTTTAACAGTGAAAGCACGGACTGCTCAATTAGCCAAAATAAAGTGGGTTATAAATATTGTATTTTATATCTTACAAGTAAGTAAACGCTATCATCATTGAAAGTTTACTTTAATTTTCTACTGTTATGCAGTTATTAGCCAATAATTAGTTAAGGATGTATTGTCTATCTTGAAGAAAACATGGAAAAACCATTGACTAATTCCAGACCTGTTGCTTATTGATATGGAGGCGGGGGGAATGTTGCCTGGGCTCAGATATCTGTGAGTGAGAAGGGATGGTTGAGTTTCGTTTAGCCTCTGGTCAGTTATTTTCTGGTTTTGGGGGAAAGGGAGACTTGGTTTTCTCTTATTTGTCAGTTTCCCAGGGTATAAGTGCTGTTTTTCTGTGTTGATGATGATGATAGATTTTTAAAAATATACACACAATCCTTTATCTCTGGCAATCATAGCAGGCAGGAAGCAGCTTTGCAAGCTTCCCTACATTGCTTCACCATAAAGGGTTTGATCTTCTAAAGAACCCAAATTCAAACTTTTGTTTTAAATAGTTCAGATTTAATACTAATGTACACATGAGCATCTCTGTTATGACTTGTAATAGAAGAGACAACCCATTGTGAGGATAGTTTTTGGTGATGTGGGATGGCGGTCTGTTTCATAGTAGGCTAAATTGACTCAGTTTATTGTGTAGGGTAAAACAGCATTTGGAATTTACTTTATTTCTGGATGAGTTTTGAATGCGTCTAACAATAAAAGCTCCATTTCACCTTTGACAGGAAGTCACCCAAAAAGCATAGTTTGAAGTTGATATTTTAATATTAGTCCTGTAGTTAAGAAATTTGTTGTATCCAAACTGCAACAGTATTTTTAGGTGTATGGGGATGATGTTGCATTAATAAATTAACTACACTTTGTAACGGGAGTGCATAATTTACTGCTCCAAAATAAAAAACTGCATGTACTTTGTGATTTCTTGTCCTGGCTAATAAGAATATCTGTTCTAGGCTGCCTTGATGATCTCGTTAATTTGGAAATATTATTCTGAACCAGTTACGGTGCTCCCAAGCAAATGGCTAGCCCCACTGGAGCGTTTAGTAGCCTTTCCTACAGGAGTGGCAGGTAGGACTATTTATTCAAGAGAGAAGTTTTTGTCTCCTCTCCAAATTAATGTGGATGCTTGAATATAATAATAAAGGGTCACAGAAGTTAAAAGAACATGTTTCTTACCAACATTTTCAATTGTATTCAGTATTATGACAGTGAGAAATTTAATTTGCTTTTACATTATGCGGTTTTTCCTTCTAATCAGCAGTGAAAT